CGGGCATAACTCGGGGATGGCAGGTGCAGAGCCGTAGACTTAGTTAGCTTAGGATTAGTGGTATACCGGTTAGTGGTATCCCTGTGCCGGCGGGGGCTCATCGTATGCCAGTGTTGGCGGTACGAGTTTAAATAAAATTAGATTGACTTCTAAGTACTTTTCCTACTTATTACTTTAACGAATATAAAAACATCTTTACGATCTTTATCTTTATTACAACGTTATCATTACACCAAGAAAAGTCCTTCACGAAGACAAGTTAGAGAAAGCTTACAATAGGCATTCCTGATAGAAGACAAAGGTCTTGTACTATCGGTAACGTAGGCAGAGGCCTAGAGCTATCATAAGACAAGGAATGAAGAAGACAGAAAGAGAAGTATCGTTCCCCGTCGCCAAGAACTAACTATCTAGAGAGGGATCGTTACAGTGTTATCATTGTAAAAAGAAGAGTGAATTTGCAATTCATTAAGAGTAAAGTTTGAATTTAAGGAAGTCATAATTTAAGAATTTAAGAAATGATAATAGGAGAAGAATGATGATTCAGTTACTGGACTTACAAAGACTATTTAAGCTATCAAATCTATCACGAACCAATAGTATACTAGCATCTACCATCTCATAACTATCATATTACTATTACGCTAAGGATTTACTTCACCAATTATCACTCAACCCATTTTACTGATAAGACGTGTTGATCAGATACCATTAATCTGGATTTAAGGATTCTGGTGCCAGAGTGAGAATTTTCCAAAAATCACAAAATTTATTATAGCAGTTAATTCTAATAGTACAACTGCCTTATAAATATATTTCAAGTAGATTGAGAGATGAACTATTCAACTATGTATTAAAAAAAAAAACAGATAATTTAAGATTTTAAATTTAAAAGCTAACAAAGGGTTCAATTTTCATGACAAATATATTTTGAGGCCTTCATATCATACTCTATAAGGTCAAGAAGTATCATATGCATCAAGGCTAATTTGTTGCATTGGGAGAGCGGACCAATTTTCGCATATCAGCACCCATATTGAAGAATACTTTGAATCCGGCAAGCACATCAGATGAGAGCTAATAGAAGCTTCCTCAACGCACAGATGGACTCGTCGAACCGGAATCGGGACCCGATATGCTATCGTTGTGAGAAATAGCCATAAGCCTTCCGTGACATTATCCCGGACTGCCTGGGTCTAGAGTTAGCGAGATGGGGCGAGGACCTACAAGTGTTTAACACCAAGGCTGATCTGGGGGCTGTTTGGCGGCGTGGTTTTGGTTAAAAAATGACCAATGAGATGACACAAACCATGCTTATACGATCCATTTGAGCATTCTCATTGGTCTGTTTTCAACCCATTGTGACAGAACCACGCCGCCAAACAGCCCCTAAGCTTTGTGGACGAACAACCAACAAGGAAGAAATTTCCTGAGTTTTTGCCAAAGTTTCTTTTGTTATATACGGTAGGTTTCTAGGCCGTGGGTAAGGATTCTAGGATGAACTATTCGAACAAATCGACGGACTTCATGAAAAACGCCTAGAGAAAAATCCGTGTTAAGTCCTACGGGTATGACGCCTTAGAACCGAATTGTTATCACAACCCAATCATGCACAGTCACTGGTCGCAACTTTTAAACGCCAAAAATATGATACCAGAGGGAGAAGATAGGGGGGGTTAAGGGAGAACCAACAACCAAAACGCCACTTTAGTAATTGGTATTCCCCTCAGCCAATGTTATTATAGTGAATCGACGGGATACCGTATGTGCGGCAAAGACCAAAAAACCTGAGCCCGAAGTTGGGATCGTGAAGCTGCACCGTCCACACTCACAAGAGGCGTGCGGCAACACCCTAATGGTTTGCTTTTTCACCATAAAATGGTGCCAAGATAAATGGGCTTCCTTTACGGCTTCTTCAGGCTTTTGCTATCATGTTGGAAGGCTTGCTCACCCCTGGTTATAGGTACCCGAAGATAGGGGGGGTATTCCGTGCGGGAGCTCAGAGACCCATGGATACTTTGCCATATATTTCGCAAATTCCTACTTCCGGGCACCTACTGCTAGGGAAGAGTAGGCCTAAACATATCTGCATTCAAATTTCCTGAGGAACCAAGGAATAGCGCTTAAGAACCAGAAATTAGTCCCGAAGTCGCGAGCCATGTTTCTCACCCGTCCCCTCTGGGCAGCATTTTGGATATCTGCACTAGCGCTCGCGCAGACAAATACAACCATTCGGAGGTTAGGCGCAAAGACTGTCGAACCCGAAATCGAAAAACAGACGTGGGATTGGGGTCCTGATTCCCGATGTCGCCTGTTGGCCCATCAGAGTTTGTTCCCCTTCTGCTCAGTGAGAGGTTGATTCTGATTTGAAATGTGAAGGTATCATCATCAACCACAAGGGGAAAGACCTGCTGATATTTGATGGAGGCCTTGCAAAATTCAAACACAATTGGAATGGTGAAAACATTGAAGTTTTGGAGTTGAGTGAGTTTACTCCTTCCTTGTTGTGATTTGGTGGTTACTCATATCGATAAAGATCCCCGAACAGTCGTCATTGACCTCAGTAAGCCATTCACCTCCCGGGAGTTCGTCCCGGTCTCTCAATCGAAGAAGCCATTGGGGGTTCCCGTGGCCAACCGCTTTGGTTTCTGGAAAGGTTCAAATCAAGGTTCGATCATCATGCAGGGGGGACACTTCTACGACGCTGAAGGTTGGCGAAATTCGTCCTACTTTCTCGCGAAGAAGGATATTCCTGGATATAGCATCTGGGAATATGATATTGAGACTTCCACATGGGCAGAAGTTTCACTTCCTACCAATAGGAACGGTTTCAAGCGCGCATTTGGCGGTGCAGCTGTTTCTGTTCCTAGTACAAACAAGAGCTACTATATTGGGTTTGCAACCTACCTGCCTGCCCCTTGGACAGTCAACTCACTCGAAGTGTAGAGGCCTCTGGACACCACGTTCGTCAAGCGGCTCCCTTGATCGATTCTCAGTTCCACAATCTGGGATGCTTGTATATGACCACAAAACTGGTGCGCTGACAAATGAGTCGTTTGGCCAGACCGGAACGGCCTATTGGCATGGGTCAGCCAATCACCTTGAAATTGGAAAAAAATCTGGGTTCTTGATTGCCCTCATGGCTGAGTCAGCTCCAGGCGGAGTTCCAATCGTGGACGACCCTGATGTCAACGATGAACATGGATCCACGGTAGGCTTTATATCCCACCGAAATTACTCCTACCCTTCACTAAAAACAACATAGATGTCGTTTGAATATGTGATGTTCTACGACCTTGAAAACAAAAAATGGATAAATCAATCCACGACCTTTTACAATAATAAAGTTCCTACTCCCCGAACGAGATTTTGTGGGCAGACAGTGTATAGTGATGAAACAAAAACCTGGGAGTACGTTTTACGTTCACAATCCTCAAGATTTCCATTCTGACTTTCTGAAACCAAACAGGTTTTGGGTCCATGGTGGTATGTTAATGGAACCACTGGGGAAAGCTGTTCCGGACACCTGGGTCTTGACCATGCCCAGCTTTATGTTCGATTCCTTTCTTTGGCTGAGCATTGCTTCAAAGCTAACTTCTGACCACACCTCAGCTGGACCCAGGTTGAGATACCTGACAGCATGGCCAGAATGCGCTCTCATACTTGCAACGCGATCGGCAGCCAATTACTGATAATTGGCGGTTACCCACCATCCGCACAAGTCGAGAAAGATGCTCCCTGCGATCCTGAACTGATTAAAGTTCTAGACATGAATGAATTGACCGTGAGTATCTTCCTGACTCAACTGGGAACCAACATAATAATATCCTTGTTAGTGGAGCTCACACTTTACCCCCCGAACTGTATACAAAACGCCAGAAATTGTGCGTAAAAATGCAGAATTCCACCTTGGCCGTGTGGATCCAAAGAGCGGTTGGGCAGACAATAATCTACGTGATGCGTTTCATTACAGGCCTCCAATGCCTCCGTGGAAAATCGCTGTCATAGTGGTTTCTGCTATCATCGGCTTATCACTTTTGATATGGTCAATAGTCCTCTTCGCCCCAAAGCTTTTACCAAACCACAATGTCGGAAATCACAATGTCGGAAATCATGATGAGGGAAATCACAATGTCGGAAATCGGGATGCCGGAAATCAGATTGCCGGAGGTCGGGATGCCGCTGCGCGTGCGGAACTGAGGTAATCAGCTGGATAGAATATTCCGGGGTCCAAAGTCAGTGGTTATAGAAGAAACTAGTGGACGCAGAACATCGGGCACCATCTCTAGAGCCTCGAGCATTCCCAAGCCGCCCAAACTAAGGTGTGTGTAGATGAGGGGCTAGTCAGGTCTGTTGGATCCTGAGTCTAGGGTCGTGATAAATCATGTGGCGGACTACTTTTACTAGCAAGTGTACGAATAAAATTAATAGCCTTTGTATTAGCCTTTCTGTCGGGATGTGACACATCAGTACTCACAAGCTCTCAGGGGAGCTGTAGTGTGCGTTACTTCTGCAACTTTATTGTCGGTATGACATTGTAGCCTTGGGCTTTGCTTGGTGTTCGGGGAGCGGGTCGACCCTGATAACCGGGAATCGACCTCGAGTGACTATCTGTGAACTTCCCCGTAGCCCAGTATCGATAGTATCAGTGCCAATTGCCCAACTGCGAGGGTAGGTAATAGAGCTGCAAACTCCACAGGAGTCTAAATATCGAGCAGGTATGCGGGAAAGTGCTGAGATCCGATACGCTTGACATTTTAGTTTGATTTGAGCTCGCCGATGATGTCTTTCTAAGGAGAGACATTATCGGGACTTGATAAGTATGATACTAGTATCATACGTACAGTACCGATGTGGCGTTTGACATATCTTAATTATGCATGGGTGCTTAGATCTAAGAGAGGAAGTGAAGTATGACAAATACGACTGCTACGCGGAACTGTCGGAATGATCCTAGCTTACCGAACGATGAACATAAACACATGCATCAACTCAAGCCAACCCGACCCAACCAACCGCGTCAACTTCATCTCTACTACCCTCACCCACCAGCCCTGCAAACAATCTGACGCCGTCACTCACCCCCTCGCCAAACAAAGGCCATCTCCAACAGATCGCTTCCGCCTACCTTTGTTTCACAGAAGAGCCAGTTTTTTTGAATGACAATCAAGACGTAGAGGAAGAAAACCTATATCTGTCTTTCCCCTTTTTTTCCATCGGACACACCTCCGGTGGTCACATACACACACAGGCAAACGATGGCGACCAATGGCCCAGCGATCAAGCCCGACCCAGATGTCAAGATCGAAGACGCAGATATCAAGGCTGAGGTCTTGGATGCTGATGATGACGAACTATATGAAGATGCCGGTGACCTGGACATGTCTAAGGGGGACAAGGCGGTGTGGTTGGTGAAGCTCCCAAGTTTTGTCGCTGAGCGCTGGAACGAGATTGATGATAATGAGGAGATTGTGTTGGGCGTTGTGAAGGTTAATCCAAAGGATACTAGCAATGTGCGTAAAAAAAATCAAGAGAGAGAAAAAGCAAAAAGCAATTCCATTATTTAAGTAGTTTTATTTTTTTCACTTTATTTCTCCCGGCTGACTAGTGGTGATGCTTTACCACAGCTTAAACTTTCACTTGAGAGGAATCAAGCGAACGGAGACGAGATCCCTACAGAGTATGATTTGAGGATAACCAATATGGAGGTTAACAATACTTTTGTCTTTACGGAGAAAGATATGCCGGGATTTTCGAGCAAGTTGAATACCGGTGGCGTGAAGGAGGGTGAACCGGCGATTCCTGCGAGGCTGTTATACCAACACCGTGACCGGGAGAGCAATAGTGGGGGTGGCGGTGGTGGGAAAGGCAATTGGGGGAAGCAGAGATATCAGCCGTATGTTCGGAAAGCTATTCCAAGTACGGCTCCTAGCCATTAGTCTGTTTCTTTCTTTCGCAGGTGCTGACAACATGTCTAGAGAGGACTTCGCTAGTTGGAACAGTTCGCCACGAATGCTCCATGTCTCCGGTTATCAATGAAGAGTACAAGCGGTTCCAGCTATCTAAATTCCGTCAAGCAGATGCTCCGAGAGTCACCACCCAAGTTCTCGATCCCAATGCTGCTGGCGGTAACCTCCTTGCACCCGGTACCACTGGTGCCACAGCTAAGAGTTTTGCTGGCTTCGTTGTAAGTACAATAATCGAACGAGCTATCATTTTACCGCCCTATTCTATAATATAGACATCTAACTCAACCACACAGAAACCCACACAAGCAGTTCGAAAAACAACAGACAACAAAGCCGCCCGTATGCCTCACTCAGAACTCCTCACAGCTCTGTTTTCTCTCTTCGCAGAGCATGAATACTGGTCCATGCGTGGCATTCGCGAGAGGTTATTTCAGCCGGAGCAATACCTCAAGCAAACCCTGGACGAGATCGCAAAAATGGACCGCAATGGCCCCTTCACAGGAAAGTGGTCACTCAAGAGCGAGTACAAGAATACAGACGACAAGAAGAAGTTGGAGCTCGCTGCATCCACTGGTGGAGAAGCCGGCCAGGAGGTCATCGAGATTGACGACGACGATGAAATGGTTGAGATGGAGGATGTCCTTAAGTAAATTCGGATAGATCGACTAGGAGAAACGAAGGAAAGAAAAAGTGGATGGCAGCCTATTATTATCTTGGATTTGGGATGGGGGTTGATTTGCTGTATATACTTTAGTTCTGCTTTACCTCACCTTACCCACCTTTCGCTATTATTTTGTTCTTTCATTTTTATTTTAGCGCCGTAGCATTGCTAGCCGGGATGGGGGTGTAGTCTAATTGAATGCTCGGTATGCGTGGGGTCATGTAGTCCGACTTACTTGCTCTTTTATTCTCTCTCATCACTACACTATCTCCTTTTTTGTCTCCTTCTATTTCCCCCTTTCCATTTTACTCTTTGCTTCATTCTTTTCCTTTCTCTCCTTCCTCCCTTTCTTTCTTTCAAAAAATCAGTTAAAACTTGGACACGGGCGTTCCGGGGTTGCTTTGAGTATCAACAGTACAGTACCTGGCATTGCTTTTCCTCTATACTTCCTTCCTTTTGCTTTCCCCTAGCCAGAAGCTTAGTAGTGGTAGCAGATGTGTACCTGTACTGGTGTGGTAGTCCGGTGTATACAATTTGTAAGGGATGGGAGGCAAGTGAATAAATTGCTAGCTTAACTCAGCCACAATAAGAATGGGAAGGTGCATGAGTCCTGTGACCTGGGAGTGAGTGATCATGGGTGTCTTAGACACCTTACCCCAGCACTGGTGTCACTGGAGGTGTTCTGGAGCAAAAGGTCTCTGCTTCATGATATCGTAAGGCAGGTTGTCGGTTTGAGTGTCACGATATTGGAATGTCATTGTACTCTAGAAGCAATGTATGGTAGGATTTGTATCTACTGCCGTATGGCATTGTAAAGGGGAATGGCTTGCCTGCCGTGCGTACCGTGTTGTGGTTGCCCCATAAATGGCAGACTATGATACTGTGATGTATTGATTTCGACTGAATCACAGGGTAGAGGATGATCTGGTTCTGTGAATGGATAACTCAATCCAATTAAGGCCCTATTCGGCATGTGCCAACAAAAATATAATTTATCAATACTGTTTCTGAAAACATTTTATTTCCTGATATTCTTAAGATGAATTAGCTCCAGAGCGAGAGTAAAGATTACTCGTGCTGTCATGATATTTGTTTACTCGGGTAATAGTTCTTGGACATAGACTAAGTCATCGTCGGTTGGATAAAGTGCCGGTGAAAATACCATAAGTTGATCAGTAAAATGTAATAGCAGCTAGATCTGCAGCGGCTCAAGAGCCCGGAGTCCAATTACTGCAAAAATGCAGCTCTGGGTAGCCAGGAGCTCAGTAATACAGCAATTTTTTCTTCACCTGGGTTTAATTGTGGATTATCTCTGGCTCAGGGGAGAGAAGCTCATGGTGTCTACATAATTCATGCTAAGCCTTGGAATTTATATGGGTGCCCTTAGGAAAAGGTACTTATTTTAAAAATTCTGATTATCAAAGGCCAACCAACAATTCAAGATATCATACCTCTCTGATTTGGCTGAAATTTGGGTATTTTGAAGTGCCTGATACCCAGAGCTGATTGATACGCAATCAATTGAGGTAGAGATGGCAACATTGTACGGTTGTGAAAATGGCTACTTTGGGTGTAAAAAGGGCGGGTAAGGACGGCCTTTGTCAGGGCACTATAATCGTAGTCAAGTATGATAGAAAGTGCGAAGCACTGCTGGCGATTGAGGAAAATAGATACGTTGCAAAATATCGTGTCCCCATTTGGCTGACATTGTGTCCTTTATTTTGGCTTTGGAGCCAGCCCCTTTTGGGTATTGGGAAATAAGGTGCTATCATAAGTATGATACAGTATCATACAGTACCCGTACAATAGAGCATGCCGAATAGGGCCTGAATTTTGATTCCGCTTTGTAGCTTTTCGAAACTTCCACCAATGCTCTCTTAAGCCAAGGTGCATCATTCATCGGTACTTGTATGATACACCAGCGTTTTCTCGCGTTCCTTATTGGCGGTTGTACCCTAAGCCCTCCTCGCACAAGCTGCCCCAACTAGGAAACAGAGCCTAAGAGTTACCCTACCGCTGCCACAAAGTTTCCGGGCTTTGTTTCACTTTCTCTCTTTCTCTCTCTCAACCTCCTCTTCTTTCACACGTAACCTTGTTCCGCCCAACAACACCATACCACTCCCGCGACCATTGAGATCGCTCTCCCCACCTGTTTTTGAAAAATTCTCTAATCCCTAAGATCTTAATTCCTTCTATCTTTACTTTTTGCACCCGATACGGACAAATATGAGTACTTCTAATTTACTCAATCAAGACTTTGATGCCGACGAAGACGACCAGGATTTCGACGCTGGCCACCTGGACCAAGATGCTGAGGGCGAGCCCGATGATGATGCTCCGCCCGCGGGAGGCCAACCAGACGACGATGACGAGGAAGACGATGAAGAGGACGACGAGGAGGACGACGAGGAGGACGAGGACGATGACCTGGTACGTTATTTGAAAGCCTTACTCCTCCGATTAGCTTTTCCTTGGGCGAGCAATTGACTTGGGGTAAATTTTGCTAATGCGTAACCTACCTTCGACAGCCGCAACGCAAGCGTGCTCGTAGACCACCTCGCAATCAATTCCTCGATATTGAAGCCGATGTCTCCGACGAAGACGAGGAGGATCCCGACGAAGACGAAGAAGACGGTGCGGAAGCAGGCTTTATCGCCGACGATGCTGACCGCCCAGAGCTAAGCGACCTCCGCCAATACCCTCGCGACGACCATCGCCATCGTGAGCTCGATCGCAAACATGAGGCTGAGCAAGCAGAGGACATGGAGCAAATCGCCGCTGGGTTTAAAGAACGTCATGGCAGATCGGCTCGGAGACGTATGGAGGACTCGCAGGTAGTTCCTAGAAGGCTATTATTACCATCCGTTAATGATCCGAGCATTTGGGGCGTCAAGTGTAAGCCTGGAAAGGAGAGGGAAATTGTTTTTTCGATTCTTAGGAAGCAGGAGGAATTAGCCAACACGAAGGCTCCTCTACAGATCACCTCTGCACTCGAACGCGGTAATACTATGCCCGGGTATATCTACGTCGAAGCAAAGAAGCAAGCGGACGTTATGCATGCCCTTCAAGGTGTCTCTTTTGTCTATCCCATGACGAAGATGATTCTTGTCCCTATTAAGGAGATGCCAGACCTTCTTTTTGTTATGAAGAAAGCCGAGATCACACCAGGGACATGGGTTCGTTTTAAACGTGGAAAATACCAAGGCGATCTTGCTCAGGTTGAAAACGTCTTAGCTAGTGGCCTCGAGGTCAAGATTAGGATGGTACCTAGGTTGGACTACGGCAACGGGGCTGATGCAGACGACCCGAGCGGTAACAAGCGAAAGCGCAACCCTTTCGGAAAGAATGGGTCACTTGCCGGACGCCCCCCACAGCGACTATTCTCCGAAGTTGAAGCCAGAAAGAACCACGCAAAGTATTTGTCACAGGCGGCACAGGGATTGAAGAAGATTTTCACCTATCTCGGAGATGAATATGAAGACGGATACTATATCAAGGACGTTAAACTCAACCTTATACAGACCGAAAACGTCAATCCAACTCTAGAAGAGGTTTCCAAGTTTGCATCTGGAGGGGATGATGGGACTGAGAGCTTGGATCTCCATGCGCTGGCTCAGTCACTAAAGAAGACTGTTTCCACGTACCAAGTTGGTGATACTGTCGAGGTTTATGATGGCGAGCAGAATGGTCTCGTCGGGAAAGCTGTTAGTGTTCACGGCGACATTGTTACATTGGACGTGTTGGAAGGCCCATTGAAGGGAAAACGCACCGAAGTTCCTTTCAAAGGATTAAGGAAGCGATTCAATCCAGGAGATCACGTCAAGGTTACCGGAGGAAGCAGATTCAGAGACGAAGTTGGAATGGTTTTGAGGATCAATGAGGACAGGGTCACTCTTATTAGTGATGTTGGCATGACCGAGATCACTGTCTTTTCCAAGGATTTGAGGGAAGCTAGTGAGTCTGGAGGCATGGAAACTGGTGGGAAATATGATCTCCACGATTTGGTACAACTTGAGTATGTACCCATGGTATGCGTGGGCTTTAATTGAACCCTCTGTTGACAACTGATCCTAGCGCTACTACCGTTGCCTGCGTTACCAAAGTCGACAGAGAGTCTGTTAGAATCATCGATCAACTCGGCAACATTAGAACAATCATGCCATCTCAGATTGCAAGCAAGCTTTCAAACCGTCGCCCGGGCGTAGCCACAGATCGAAATGGCTCCGAGATCCGCGTTGGCGATACAGTCAAGGAAACCGGCGGAGAGACCCGATCTGGTGTCATCTTGCATATCTTTAGATCTTTTGCCTTCCTTCACAATCGTGAAGAGACTTCGAACGCTGGTGTGTTCGTCTGCAGGACTAATAATGTCGCTACCATCGCTGCCAAGGGGGGTAGAATTACGAATACCCAATCTACCGGCCCGGACCTTACCAAGATGAACCCTGCTATGCAACGCAATGGGCGGTCCCTGGATGCTTCTGCCATGCCGCCTCCACGCACTGGTGGAAGAGATAGAACCATTGGGCAGACGGTTACGATTAGACAGGGACCGTACAAAGGACTAGTGGGAATTGTCAAGGATGCGACCGACGCTACGGCACGAGTAGAGTTGCACACTAAGAACAAGATTGTCACAATCGAAAAGGCGAAGTTGGGTTTTAAAGAGTACGTTTTTCATACCCCCTTTCCTCGCCGTCTGCAGCGTTACTAATCAGAAACCGACACACAGCCTTCACACTGGTACTATTAAGTCTTACCAAGATTTTATGCGTCCTGGTGGTCGTGGAGATGGAGGGGGGTATAGTAGAACGCCCTCAATATCCTCGGATAGAGCCTCTTCTTGGAGCGGTAGCAGAACCCCTCAGTCCAGCATTCCGGGATCGCGTACGCCAGCATATAATCTTGGTAACAAGACTCCTGCCTGGTTGAGCTCTAGTGATGGCAGTCGTACACCCGGATACTTTCCCGGCAGTAAGACACCTGCATATGGTATGGACGGTAGTAGATCTTCTTATGCTGGAAACAAAACACCTGCGTAAGTAATACTCCCGCCGTCCACTTTACAATATCTAACAATTACTATAGTTGGAATCCCTCCTCTCGTACTCCCTATGCCTCAGACACCGATCGTAGCACCTGGGACGCTGGCTCTAAAACTCCCGGCCGCCCTAACCTTGATTCCTTCATGGATTCCAACTCCACCTCTACAAACTCCTCTAACAACAATACCTCCTACTCTGCCCGCACTCCTGGTGCCTCTTACAATGCTAGCTCCCCAGATTTTATTCCACCCTCCTATAGCAAAGAGCTCTCTGCACCCACCCCCGGGGGGCCTATTTCTGCGCCCACCCCTAGTGGCGCCATGTCCGCTCCCACTCCCGGTCCAATCTCTGCCCCGACCCCGAGAGACGCTTACGGCGGAACCTGGGGCGGTCCGGAGACTGCTCCCACTCCTGCTCCATACGGCGCTGCTCCTACTCCCGGTGCTAGTGGAAGCTATGGCGGAGGCGTCGGTAGTGGCGGGTCTAGAGATCCTCGGGGCGGCTATTACCAAGGTGCTCCAACTCCTGCAGCCGGCTATGGAAATCCTAGAACTCCGGGCGTCTGGGCCGGTGGTGACGATGATGAGATTCGATACGCGGAGCCAACAACACCTTAGAACCTACGTCTAGACATATAGCTGCTTGGTTGACTAGATGGGCTGGTGAATTGCGGTGTTGTGTGGTATAACTTGGATAAGGGTAGTTGGCTGTCGGCGGCCTATTTTGTGGAAATTCAAAAAAAAGGAAACCCCCCCCCCGGCGATGGACGACGGACGCATGGACGTGGCGTATCATAATTTCTTTTCTTTTCTTTTCTTTTCTTTTTATTTTCCTTTCTCTTTTCTCTCTCTTTCTAAGGCCTGTGCTTCTTCCTAGTTTACCTTACTCTACCTTATTTTTTGTCGATCTGTGGATCATGGCTTGAATTGAATCGAATGTTGGCCGGCTGGTTGGTTTTTTGGGTGTTTACATAGCTGATAAATTAAAGTGTATCTCTTGATCTGGGCTAGCTATTTTCCTTTCTCTCTTTACTATGCTATGGTTTGTTTTTGGGGGCGTGCGTAGTTCGCATGTACCGTGAATGCGGTGCAGGAAGGATGGGGTGGAAAGCCGTGGTTGGAAGGACCTGTAAGATATTCACGGCTGAGAAAGTTATAATACATGTACATTGCTGCTGCTGCTAGTTGCTACTTAGAGCTGAGCGTGAGGTTTGGATGCTCAGCATAGTTCTACATATGGTGGGCTATTATACTCTTCCTCTGCCCCAAGTGTTGGAGAACGCAGACCCCAATTCCCGATTAACACCCGAGTGACATACCGTGACGCGAGCTTCAATTCTAGCAGGCTATTTTTTAATGTGGCCCTCTTCTAGATACTCGAGTAGCTGTATTTGGATGCAACGCTTCCGCTCCGTTACCCCACACAAAGTGACCGTTTCCTTCCGTTTGACCATTTCTACCAGCAGCAGAAACGGTCGCAAAAGGGAACGGAACCATTGTAGGAAACTAAATTTCCCACAGTACTCGTACAGTATGAAAAGAGGCCCAATACTATATCAGACTTATAAAGTTGTACCCTACCTATAGGGCTGGAGATATCAAGCACAAATCACTCTCAAACCACGACATTCAGTAACCTTACACATCGCAAAGCCAAATTACAAGTTCCCAGCAGCGATATACAATCCCGTTTATTTAATAAGATTTTTCATCCATCAGTAGACCTATACCGACCTACAGGGAGCCCCCCGAGTCTAATTAATCAACTAACTGCATTTAAGCCCTCTCGCTCCCCCTCAGCCTAACCGCCTGACCGAACTTCTGCAGTTTCGTGAGGAGCTGATCGCCCTGCTTGACAACATCCTGGTACTGCCGGTTCTTGTCGTCAGGGCGATTTGTCTCGATGACACCGTTGACACGGTCGATTGTGCAGTTTAGCTTTTTCGAGGGGATGAACTTGGAGAGATCTCGGTCCAGCCATTCTACTGACACGCCGAAGGCGTTCGCCATACTTTCCAAGCCAACGACACGGTATGACTCTAGGAGTTGGGCATAGGCTCTTCGTCTCATTTCACGGACGTACCTGGTGTTTGTTAGCTTACGCCAAGTCCATTTTGGGGGCACACTGAGCACACCAGGCCTTATGCTCCGCTAGAATGCGATCCCTACTCAAGAAGCGCTCTTCCACATCCGCAAGCGCGACAAAAAAGCCCTTGTACTCGCAGAGATATAGGCTGTTAACCAAGCTTTCCAATGAGGAGTAACCCTCGGTATCCTCCGTCTCAGCATCAATCATCTCAACATCTCCCGCAGAAACTGCACCTCCGCTCCTAGAACCCAAGACAGCAAGGACCTCCGCCGAATCGATAACCTTGGCCTTAAAATCAACACGATTAAGAGAGATTGTGCCGGCAAGAACGGCGTATAGGACAAGTGTAGAGTAAGAGCATATCTCTATCGATGTAAAGGTAGAAAGTGAATCGAGGAGTAGTGGTGCGGCCTCGGCATACTGGCGGCAAGAGAGAAGATGCAATCCCGTGTAAGACTTTAGACGGTTTCGACGATCCCAATCTCCACCGGTATCAATAAGGCTGTTGCAATCAGCTACAGCTTCACCCATCAATCTATCAATGCCTATATATAAACATACCGTCTAGCACGCTCAACGCTCTTCTTAACCCCGACTTTATCATCGTAGAACATCTCCATACGGATGATGGCAAGGACAATATCGATCTTAGCACCCAAAGTGGGAGTCTTGATGTAAAGTTCTTCATAGGCAGCAAGGGCTCTCTCCTAACTCCAGTCGTCAGCTCTCAACCTCAAACATTCCCGCCCCACAGCTAACTCTCCGAATAACCGAAGAAATGGACTAACCTTATCCACAACCCTCGCAAAAAATTCAGCCTTCTTCCCCATAGCCTCCACAACCTCCGACTCCCCCGCCTTCTCGTCACTCTCCTTGATCTCCGTATCGAGTACCTCCAATTCCTCATCATTGCTCTTCTTCAACTCCTCATAGTACTTTTCGTCCCAAACGATCTTACTGGATAGTATTCCATCGGTAGGATGAGCAAGGTATCGATAGAGAGGGGCCTGAGAAGCCTCTTTGATGGATGCGGTGAGGGCCTTGTTTGCGGTAGGGTAATGGGCGGATAGCGAGGGAGTGCGGAGGGTGAATATGTGTTGGGAGAGAAGTAGGTTTGGATAGGAAGCGTACTGGGGATCTGAACCCATTTTTGGAGTTCGAGGGGGGAAGTATCTAGATATCTATCTATTTATGTATGGCAAAGATGATATGAGGAGTGCTCTTGATGGTGATGTGGGTAGATAAATGGACAAAAGGAAACTCTGAATGGCGAAATGTAAGAGTTATTTAGAGTAATGGAGGTGGAAATGGGATAAGGTTACCGCCCACGGCAAACAGCCCAGAGCTGTCTGCTGACGTAATATACCAACTCTGCTGCATCAGCCACCCGCCACAATTCCCAATCAACCACCAACAACTCCAGAGGTGAGTGTTCGCGGAAAGAACGAACCTTAGTCTACGTACGATCACTGTCAACACCAACAAGCTCACCTTCCCTTCCTTCTTCTTTTCTCTTTCCTTCTCACAACCACAGATAACATCATGGGGTACTACTATGGAGGCGGAACACTGACTACAGCGGTACTCCTCGTCGGAGCTTGTACGTCCTTTACTTTCATCTAGTTCATTGGCTACTGCCCCTTATGACTGCCTGTCCATAGCTAACAAATGAATGATTGAAACGGGTAGATATGCTCTTCAATGGAGAGGGCGAGACATTCAACGTGAGTTCTACTTACCACCACCACCACCATCTCCTCCCACGCCCTTCAGCGGGACTAACTGTTTGTTAGATCGGTCGATTTTTGGAGGAAACATCACCGTACACTTGGGCCTCACTGGGCGTAGCATTATGTATAGGCCTCAGCGTCGTTGGTGCAGCATGGTAACGACTCCCCTCCCAACCGCCATCACCTCGCAAGTTAACACCCATAACCAGGGGAATATTCGTAACCGGCTCAAGCATAATCGGTGGCGGTGTGCGCGCCCCAAGAATCCGCACAAAGAACCTAATTTCCATCATCTTCTGTGAAGTTGTAGCTATTTACGGCGTAATCATGAGTACCTTCTCCCACCCACCTCCTCCCTTCCCCTTCCCCCCCTTGTCACTAACATCCCCACAGGTATTGTCTTCTCCGCAAAACTAGCAAACGTCCCCGCGGAAGCCCTCTACGACCCGAAAAACTACTACACTGGCTACGCAATATTCTGGGGTGGCATAACGGTCGGCATGTGTAACGCCGTATGCGGCATCGCCGTGGGGATCACCGGATCGTCGGCCGCGCTCGCGGACGCGGCGGATCCCTCGCTCTTCGTCAAGATTCTTGTCATTGAGATTTTTGGCAGCGTGCTAGGGCTTTTTGGGCTGATTATCGGACTGTTAGTTGCAGGGAAGGCGGAGGATTTCAGTTGATTTGGCATCGTGGTTATGGGTACGGGTACAGGTATTGGGGGTGGGGGTGGAGGGCGGTGAAATATACACGTAATGAATGCTGAGAGGAGGGAAAAAGGAGCAAAAGATTGGCAGACTGAATGGATGGTGGGAGGGCGGAAGACGGAATCATCTGGCGCGGTAACAACTATGGTATGGTACAGGGCCTGCTGTATTATTATGTATTTGGTAAAGGCTTTCATGCGATGATCATATCCAATCACAGATGGCTTGCATCTCTCTGTGTAGACGACTAGAATACTTACCGGTACTCTATCGCGCTCGGAAAACTCTGCCAACGGAAAAGTACCATACAAACAGACCGCAACGGCAGAGCGTATGAGTAAGACGTAAGACCGTTCCAACCCATTTGTCAACTTACAAATCAATGTCTACTAATTATAGTTATATCCCGGTTGTGCTCCCCGACCGGTACCACACCTCTGGTAACCACCCACTGTCAACACTGTCAATGATAAACTATCCCCGCTGCGTGATTACGATAATTCAACCGATATTCACCATCATACTGCAATCCTATCGACCCGTATATACTGGTATGAATTTCTAGGTTGTAAGAAGAAAGGAACATCAAATCTTCAACGAAACGCCCAAGACCAGAAAGGGGTGAAAAAGAGGTAATAGGAAGAAAAGCAAAATAAATGGAATCAAAGAAAACCTTGCCGCCCTTGTTTCCCCAATCCCATTTCCAAATTTCCTATCCGTCTATCACTCAATCTAGCCGCCTGTCTAGGTAACACGACCAAGACTTCATTCTAAACGCTATTAGAAAGATAGAAAGAAAGAAAGAAAGAGAAAAACACCACAAGAACGCCAAACACAAAGGAAAAAAATCAAGCCGTGGCTTCCTCTAGCATAAGAGAATCGATAACCCGGGCGATGGCCCCGGAAATGTCGTCCACGAGATCGTCGACGTCTTCAATACCGACGGATAATCTAATAAGATCGTCAAAGACTCCGGACTTTTCTCTAGCGGCAATGGGAATTCCAGCATGAGTCATGCTGGCCGGAACCTCGCAAAGAGACTCGACACCCCCGAGAGACTCGGCGAGTGTGAAAATTCTGGTTTCCTTGCAGAATCGCTCGGCCGCTCGGATGCCGCCACGGATACGGAAAGAGATCATACCACCACCCATTGCCTTTCTGTGCTGCTTGAGAGCGACTTTGCGCTGGGGGTGAGAGTTCAAACCGGGATAATTGACCGAGATAACATGAGGAGAGGACTCCAAGAATTGAGCGATAGCCGAAGCATTTTCGTTGGCAGCCTTAGCTCTGAGATGGAGGGTCTTCAAGCCTCTATGAGCAAGCCAGCAATCGAAGGGGCTCGGAACAGCTCCAATAGCGTTTTGAAGGAAGGTGAGTGTGTCATTGAGTTCGGGGGAATTGTATGCGGCAACACCCATCAATACATCCTATCACAACCATTTATCACAACCATTAGTATCAACACGAAGGTTGTACAAACCCAAGAAGGAGAAACATACACTATGCCCATTGATGTACTTTGTGACCGAATGGATAACGATGTCTGCACCATGGTCCAATGGGTTCTGGACATAAGGCGACAAAAATGTATTATCGACGACCACCATGATACCATGTTCGTGGGCAACATCGGCAACAGACTGAATATCAACGAGTGATAGTGTAGGATTAGAGGGAGTTTCGATCCAAATCAACTTGGTATTCTTCTCGATCATGGCACGGGCATCCACTTCAATTGCACCGGTAAAGGTAACACGGATGCCGTGGGCCGCAGCAACCTTGGTGAAATATCTATGGGTCCCCCCATAGACATCAGAGATGGAGATGACATGAGAGCCGGTTGCAAGGCTCTGCAAGATAGTGGCAGTGGTGGCGGAGCCAGAAGAAAATGCCAAAGCGTAATTGGCATTCTCTAGGGCAGCAACGGCATGCTCGAAGTTGTCCCTGTTGGGATTAGAACTACGAGAGTATTCGTAGAGACCAACTGGGTTTCCGACGCTGGTTTGAGCGAAAGTAGTGGAGAGTGAGATCTACAGAGTTCGTTAGCACCTACACAAACAGGAATCGAAAAGTAACTGCGGAGGGGGCAATACGGGAGTAATGACGGCACCAGTGATGGGATCATGGGGGGAACCGGTTTGAACAGCACGGGTGGCAAAGCCACGGTTGTCCTTCTGGAAGCGGGGAGCGTCCTCAATTGGTAGAGTGGCAATAGTCATGGCGAAGTGATTTGACGGAAGGATCGAGTGGAAATTTAAGTGAAAACCAAGGGGAAAAGGGGGGGATGGAAGGTTTGCTTATCGTTGACCAGTGGCGGTGATGACGGCGGAAAGAGGGGAGGGAATGGAGGCTTTTAAGGGGGAAAAATGTCAAAATTTCTCCGAGGGGAGGAGGGGAGGGCGCGCAGGGCAGGGGAGCAAGCAAGTGTATCGGTACCCCAGACGTGATAGACTTCGGTAGATTTTCCCAACGGGGCTCTCAACGCCTATTTCAACTGTGCCGAGTATGCGGTCTTTACGCCTTCAGGGTGTCTTGGTACCTCGATGATTCCAATCCGACTTTCACCGTATACAGTGCCGGTGCAAATCCCGAGCAAAGAGCGGGAGGAAGAGAAAAAGTGGGTACGATATATATCTTTGTGGGCGTCGAACAAGGGAAGAGCGTTTTAAGTTTCACAACAGGAAGAGTGAGGAAAACGTTTAACTGCAGGATGATTGGAAGATTGGAAGTGAGAGAGAGGAAAGAAAGTGTCAAAACGGCCTCCGTCATCTACCCTCTTTATACCCTTTTCCCCAGTCCCCGCCTCCGCACCCATAGTTGACTTGACTTAATAATAGTACTTGGGTTTCTGGTTGGATCATCCGTCGAATGGATTCCATCGGAGGTGGAACAAATTGCGACATCACACCTTACAAACTCCATTCCTGACAAATCCGACAAAGGCAACAACCGAGCTTCGGCACCACGCTCCTTAACTGCGTACGAGTGGGTATGTATTTGTACTACGGGTAGTACAATACCGGTACGAGTAGCTTACATTACTTACTACTCCTGTATCTTTCGAACATATTTGATTGAATGCATTCGTGCAATGTTCGTATCATATCCGTACTCTACAGCAATTCAAGCTCCCGGCCTGCAAGGAGAGAGAAGCAATATTCGGCCGATAGCGGTGTAAACTTTGATCGATAGAGTACCCTGCATACAAAGCATGTTATCCAAGATGCATACTTTTCACGGGATTACTCGTACTTGTAAAGAATACCCCGACTAATCCCTCATTGCGAGTTCACAAAGTGACTCCAAAAAAAAAAAATTAATGTTTACACTTAGCCCACCACAAAATACCCTACACAGCATCCCCTCTCCTCCAATATCGCATCTTACAGTACCTGTAGAGCACAGTATCCTGCCTGTCTCCTTCTCTCGCTCTCTCACTCTCTCCAGATGCGCCTACCAAAGCAGCAGGACACCTATAAATAATCAGGAATCCTCCGCGCTCTCCCGACGGATGAGTGAAGGGAAGGAGCCCCCCCTTCAACTCTCCTCCGACACCCTCATGCCAACCCTGCCCTGCCCAATCTGATGCAATACGGACTTCAACCACTACAACCCGACATGGTAACGCGAAAAAAAAAAAAAAAGGACAGCCTAACCTTATGCTACTGGTATGATACCGAACGATTTGAGATAGCACAGTACCGTATGGCGTTCAGTACCGTACTCGTACAGGTATTGATAAATAAAGCTAGGATGACAGCACTGCACGAGACCATCCAATCCAATTGAAACAGACCGACAATAGTACGATAAAGTACGAGTACAGTACCGCTGCAGTAGTTGCATCACACATGATCCCATTAACACACCCCATAGCGCAACCCCCCTGCTCCCTCCCCTCCCACCACTCACTGGGCACAAATGAATTGGTAATCTCACCACCAATCGGAGAGCTAAAGAAAAAAAAATGAATGAGAAAAAGAAAAAAAGGTCCCTTGGCGCTTGCACTTCCCACCCAAATACCCCCATCATATCATCACACATCGCTAAAGAGATAGCGGTGATGTTAATAACACACCGAGTGATTAGACGTGAACCCACTCGAACCTGTAAACGACACTAGTCCTCGCTCAGTAAACCGAGAGCGAGCGCCCACATGTAGACCACACACATACACGCATACAACACAGCCAATCCCAAAAGACGGCGACTATTCGCACGGTTGCGGCACCGGTGTGGGGAAATCCACCCCGCACTTATAGGTACTGTGCGGTGTGTGTCTGCGGTAGAGTCTGTACCGGTAGTGGTCTCGCCTTTTGCGTGGAGTGCCGCATAATAGGCTAAGGCACGCACGTCATGGCAGAGACCCGCACCCGCCACCGATGGGCGCCAGCGCTTTTTTTCTTCTTCTCCCGAGCGCTGCGGTAAGAATGTAGTAGAAAGATTGAGGTGTTGCCTCGGCTGAACGAAGGGATCCGCTCCCGGTTGTAAGTAATGAAAGTAGACATGGCTTCGATGCGGTTACGGAACCGGGGAGGGGGGGAGGGCTAACAGTGCCAAGGTTCCTGCCGATTGCAGAAGTGGTTCCAGATCTTGATGCATGTCATCGTTGTGCCTCTCAACGACGTAAAATGCCAGCTTAAAAGTAAGGTTTCAAATTATAGTTTCGAATATCACTATATTCATACTTCTCCACTCTTCTCCAATTGTTCCAATTGGACATTGTTCTGCTTAAGAAATTGTTAAAGTTTCTTATGATCCGGTTTTCACTACTTTTTCCAGTCCTGGAGTAGCTTCTTGTCCCATATTTCTAGCTATAATACCATCATAAATTGGTATAATACTGATTTTATGGTATCCTCTTCCACTTGTGCACTATAGTCCTCACTTGACTTGTACGCAATACCTCCCTATTGCAAATAAATTAAACCATAAACTTTATAATAGTATATTTGTTGATGTAAACTTAACTGATTGTATCTGTTGGAGGTTATCTTAAAGTGACTAAGCAAAAGTCTTGGTGAGCGTCCCCTTTCCCCACCAAAAATAGCCAAAAACCTCACTCTTCAATCATTGGTATTTCTTTGAAAATTAGATCTCCTTTTCCCTAAATTCCTGATTTAAAGTTACTTTATCTCTGTAATATCTCATGATTAATTTGAAGTATATCCATTATCAACTGAAGGTCCTGCATGCTTGTAAAGTTCTGTCATAGCTTAAAAGTCGCTACTATCACTAACTTTCTACAATAATTGCCCCAGCAACCCCTCCTTCAACAAGATTCCCACTTTAAATTTACTGCTACACAATAGGAAAGTATCTAGAGACTGTAAACAGCTGGAGGATTATCTCTACATGTGTATGTAATAACTTGGATGGCTTTTGGTAGGTATTCCACATAGAATCAGTCTGGGAGCCTCTTTAAAAACCCTCTAAAATGATAATTTTTGGTGCAAATTTGCTCCAATTACTAAGACTCTTGCTTAGTTACTTTATTTTTATAATACAATTTACTTCTAATAAAAGATATACTTTATAAACTTATTAGCTGTAAATTTGAAGCTAGGTGGAACTATTTTTACATACAGAAGGAAAAAAACAAAAACAATATCAGAAATAGTTAAAATACTATATGCTTTATAAAAGATGAAGAAAATATTAGACTTAATTATTATCAAGTTAGTAAAGTAATTCCAGAAAGAAATTCTACTTTATTAAACTCTAAACAACTCTTTATACTTGATGAATATTAAGTTTTAACTTATTCAATTTTATATATAATAATATTATGAGTGTGTTTTTATTAAAACCAGCATATGGGCACTCAACATCCAAAAATTTATTTTGGTATAACCACCTAGATAGACCTTTAGAGCATACTCCTAATAGCTCAGAAAATATTCTAGAAGCTCCAATGACCTCTGTAGCATGTTTTATGTAGAAAAATATGAAATATCTCAAAAATGATTTTTTTCTATAGAAAAAAACTACAGCTCTCTGGCTACATGTAGAAACTTTTTTTAAATCAAATGAGCACTTAGTTCATGTGTTATTTGTTATTAAAGTCAAGATACTTTTTCTGTAAAAATGTGTTGCATGAAGTACTTCTTAAATCCTGATGATAAATAAGCAATATGTGAAAGTACAAACCTATTCCAAATTCCTAATTTCTGAATTATAATTGCTATAGAATAGGGCTAGCTTTGGGATCCTCTTCCATCTCTATTACTATTACAATATTATTTTACTGTTCTCAATTTGTTTCAATTGATACTTTCAATTCCCCCATAAATCTCTCTTATCAACTTTAAATTTGTTACAATATTGAGCTCAGATAATAGTGATTGGAATGATGAAAGTGATAGTAAGTTTCACAAAGTTAGAGATAAAGGATATTGTAACGATCCCCCTTTGGATAGTTAGTTCTTGGCGATAGGGAACGATACTTCTCTTCTTCTTCTTCTTTCTTTTGTCTTATGATAGCACTAGGCCTCTGCCTATGTTACTGATAGTACAAGACCTTTGTTCTCTATCAGGAATGCCTATCGTAAGCTTTCTCTAACTCTTCTTTCATGAAGAGCTTTCCTCGGTGTAACAATGAAAATTGTGATAATGATAAAGATTGTAAAGGTGTTTTATATTCGTTAAAGTAATAAGAAAGGTACTTAGAATTCAATCTAATTTTATTTAAACTTGTACCGCCAATACTGGCATACGACGAGCCCCCGTCGGCACAGAGATACCGCTAACCAGTATACCACTAATCCTAAGCTAACTAAGTCTACAGCCCTGCGCCTGTTAGGCGGAGACAATTTGATAGACTTCAAAGTTGTCTAGGCCCATCGAGATTCGTTTCTGTAGATGGAGATTGTCTAGGAAGGCTCGGACTTTACTCGTTTCGTTTATGACTACTAAGAGCGAAGTAGAATAGGTAAAGTAGGGTAGAATCGTAAAAACAATATTATATTGTTAAGGTCTCTTCTCCGTTGCTTGATGATGTCTAAAGCTTCGGAGGTACTTCGATATTTATATTCCACGTCTGAGTGTTTGTGGACTACATCTATCTATCATACAACCATGTACTTCTTCAATCGTAATTTGAAACGTCGAGTTTTCTTCCAAGGTGCGAACACCTGTGGACCCTGAAAACCATCACACCCTCTTCAGTAATTACGATATTTCTTTTTAGGAAACGTACTGTCTCCAATAGTAATATCCCGATTAGCAGAGTCTTTAGACTTATGGCCTAGTTCTTAAGTCGAACTGAGTTGGCTCCAATTGTCTTCGCCATTGATAAAATGATCAGTTTTATCCACGGCTATATCTGCAAAGGTGGTTGTCATTACAATCATTGTAGGTGATCTGACTCCGATACTTTGTAACTCCATACACAACCCATAGATTTTCTTTAGATGACTTCCTATTAACTCGCAGGAAGCTACTCCACTAGGCTGGTAATTAATTCCTCGGTCGGCAACCCTTGGTTGCTCTCTGGCTAGTAGGTTTCAGTAGCCATTGTAGTATTGAGAATCACCCTATGGCTACGACGTGTTCCGAAACCCAGTTGCAACACTCCATGAAGTTCGTTGGCTTCATTGGTAGTGTCTTTTGGAGTTCTAGACTCTTCTAGTGTATGTAAATGTATTGGTCTCTAGTAGAGATCCTTTACCATTTAATACTATCTCTTTGTACGAAATCGTCCCGTTACCTCTGGTCCATGCCAAAGGTGTCATGTCTTTAAAGCCAAGTAACTCTCTGAGTAGTTGACAGAATTACTCCGTTCTACTTCCCAGGCCTGGCCGAAGGTCTCCTCTCATAAAAC